AGCTGACGTCCGTGATGTGTGAATGATCCTCCGAAAAAGGGGAGAGGCAGTGACTTTATTTAGTGGCGAGTCATATCCGCCACGTCACAGTGTTGGTAAACGGATGCTTGTGGCTTTTTATAGGGAGTACGCTTGCCAAGCGAAATTCCACCACATCCTGGAACACTGCCGCCGAACCATTTGCTGGAACGGGATTTACCCGAACCACCCAGCTGGCAATACGAGGAGGTTGTTCGGTTAGCCTTTCTCGAATATCATCCGTAGCGTCCGTTCTTCTGATTTCCTGGTATCCACACCGGAGCGAAAACCTCGGACTAGTATAGATTATTCCTGCAGACCCTAGCGGGCTCCCACCCCTGTTCTCCCTTAAAGTGCCTAGAAAAGCAAACGGGCGAACATTCAGAGCATGTGATCACTTGTGCTTGACCACGAGTGAGTGTTCTCCCGTTCGCAACATGAAATGAAAGAAAAAACGTGGTGGTCAGTCATGCAGAAGAGGCGATAGCAACGGACGGGAAAAGCGCTTACAGAATAGACAGCGAACTTAAAAAGATACGCGTTTTATCGGTTTCCAAACCTTATTCTCCGTTTTTCTTCTGGTTTTCAAAACCTTTTGCGAGGTTTTTGACTTTTCAAAACATTTCGCTTTTTGCGGTTTTCGGAGGTTACTGAGGCGAATGAAAACCTGAAAATGCTGTTTGAAACAAAATGCTTATTTGAAGTTCTTAGGAACGTGTCGGCCAGTAAACCCGACGACCAAGTCTAATAACCTCTTTAGATGTAGAGTGGTCGGGAGGCTTAGGTGACGGGTTTCCGGTTGTGGGGTTGCTGTCTACAGGCGTTTCCTCCACCTTTGGCTGGGTCGATACTTCGGAGGACAATGGCCTGGAGTCGTTGCTCGACTGTTGTTTGACGTAAGCAAATTTCAGGCGGTCGACTGAGACGGTTTCGTGCTTGCCGCTGGGTTCGATGAGGAAACAGCGATCCATAGGTTGTAAACCCTTGAATGAACCGTCTTAAGGTCGTTCGATTTATTTGCGTAGACCAGCATTGCTAATGAATACAATCGGGCAGTGGTGAAGATCTTTAGGTGCGTAAGTCTTGCGACACTGTTTCCGTACTGCGGCGCTTGCTCGTTGCTAGATGCCTAGCATAGTGCGCGTCATAGCGATTAGTGTTCGAGCTTTCAGAGAAGTCGCCTGGTGGTCAGGGTGGTCATCCATAAACTAGCTCAGCGCTTGACTCCTTGAGATCGGCTTTCATTGCTGGCCGAATTCCGACTAGTACCGTTGGTAGAATTTCTGTCTAACTAAGTGCAGTGGAAGCACTTAGCAAGGCATTAGGCTTACGGTGGAAACACTTCACCATATTGTTCGCTTGTGAATGGTAGGCAGTTGTCCGAATGCATTTAGATGCGAGGCCTTGGAGTAGGTCGTTGAAAGGGACCAGGACTCTCACATCTGGCGGGAACGAGTTTGCGGGCCAAGATGAAACGGCACAGCCTGGAGTATAATGGTAGCGTAGGATACTGATATGTAGATAAATAATTTGTAAACATTCTAAATAAACCAGTAGCGGATGTATAAAGGAATCGGGGTCCTGTAGCTTTTATAGTACTATAGTTTACCGTAACCTTGGTAGCAGGTGCCCGAAGTTTCAAATTTCATAAATGGGTCTAAATTGGACCTAGGTTATCGGAAAGTAAATAGTGCACTCAGCTAGTCAGAAAATGCAGAATAGCCACTTTAAGGTAGTATCTAAAGAGTGATACAAATAAATTGAAGTGGAAATGAATATTTTGCTTACCTCACATGCTCCTATGTGATTTCTTTTTTGAGAAACGACTGGGCACAATGGTTGGCGTACTTCGAGAAATAGGTGGAAAAGAACGGAAATGACTGTGAGAATAATATGTAAATAACGGGGTAAACGGATGTGTCGGGAATAGGCAAATAACCATGCCATATGCGCATACCTATTTACATATGGGACTTGCTACGGAATGCGTATTTATAATGGAAAAGTAACGCAAAAGCGTCAGTTGCATATACGAATGCCTGAGGAGCAATTAGTTAAGTGAGCTAAAGTGAAGGAGAAGTGAAGATGCATGTCGGTCCCTAGTCAATATGTGGTGGATAAATGCTCATAACGGCGGAATGAGCTTTCATAGGGTATATAAATGGTTGATGAAACCTTTATATATATATATATATATATATATATATATATATATATATATATATATATATATAAAGTTGCAAAATTAGAATGCATATATTTGTAATTAAATATATGCATTCACTTTCAGACTGCCTTATGTATACATAAATGTACGCATTATTAACCTCAATCCCATATATATATGGATATAGGTTAATAAGGCGTACATTTATGTATACAGAATGCTGTCTGGAAAGGAATGCATATATTTCATTACAAATATATGCATTCCTAATTTTGCAACCTCAACGTGATTAGAAATGGTATTGCTCCTCCAATCTAACTATGCTTATATCTTTATGTAGGAATACATTTGTATGCGTGTGACGGTAACACTGATCATCAGTTCTATGCCATTTAAGGGGACGGCACGTTATTAGTCCCCACTATGATTACCTAATGCAAATCCCCGCAACTGCACGTCAGTGGACCAACGTATACATTCTTTCCATTACAGAGATAGAAGTGACCTTATCCGTACGTAAATGAGTAAATAATTAAGTACGTGGCTGTCAATTTTCATTGAGTTTAAACGGTATCTGTAATGGTGCACATCAAGTTGTCAGGAGTAAAGTAAGTAGGTTACGCATTTCATTAATAAGCTAATACCGTGTTATGATTAATACTAAGGAAAATTTATCACACCCAGTATATGCGGAAGTTATAGGAAGCATAGGGAACAATAGGATGGCAAAACGAAGGAAACAAATCAAGGAACGTTTTGCGATGTTTTCATACAAGTAGCCCACATATATACGCAAGACTATAGGTAGGTTTATGTTCCTGCAAACGTGACGGGTACGTAGTAAGGCCGTATGATTGCCTCACGGGTGGCATTTGTTTGTTCACTGAACCACCCTCCAGTGTTGGCCGCGATTGGTTGCACGAGCGATGCATGGAAAAGTATCATGTGTTCTATAGCAGCGGTGTCATAAAGATCATTATACAGGTAGATATTTTTGTCTTCACTGCGGTAAAGGAACGGCGCTTAGTAAGCCTATGTATGTTCTACAGAGAAGCCTAATTATGACCTACAGCGACAGTTGTGTTATCGGCGCCAGGATGCTACATGAACGGCCTTCACTTATGCTAATTGGGTTCCATGATATTTGCAGCCATATGGGCTCTAGGGAAGCCTCATATTCTTGCTGCACATGTTTTGAGAGCTTCTTATTAGTAGTGCTATATTGGTCGCAGAGCATTGGTGTCGTTATGGAACCCAGCATAATCGCCGTCGTTGGAACGATTATCCTTAAATACGGGCGGGTACTAATAACATAATAGCCCAGCAGCGGCGGTATAGTAAGTACTGCTAACGAATGAAAAGGGAATGCATCTGCACGCCCATATAGGTCGCATACAGGGCATTATTGTTGCCAGGAGGGAAGCCACAGTGGTAACCTTAGGCATTGGGACAAAAAGAACGTAAGTCATGGGCTTTGTCAACGCTACTGATATAAATGGGAGTCACCTGGCTTTTAATTTGTTTCCGTCATTGCATGCAACTGCGTTGAATGCATTATGCTGAGTAATCGTGCTAATATGGAAATGTTAACGAAAAAGAGACACAAATGGTGCGCTGACGTCTGTACCGATTCCGAATATTCACGTCATCATGGGGAGCGCGTGAGGCGCTCTTGACCCACAACGTGCGAACACTGAGGAATGGTAAATGGAAATTTATTCCGTAGACACACATGAAAGCAATATGCATAGATGTAACGCGGGGTTAACTTACTCAATCACATGGAAGCGATGTAGCGCACCTCCCGATAGTGGAGTGTATGGTTCACGTCATCAATGTCTTAGACAAAATCACCAGGAAATGAAAGGTAACGTGATTCGGAGGTAAACATTTGATAATTTTTCATTGCGGTGCCACCCACCAACTGGAGAAGAGGGTGCATACGAGCGACTGACCCATCGAAGGTACAAATTGCACCATTGATAAAATTTTGGTCTGCCATCGTCACCTACGTTGTCTAGAAGTTGATTTTGGAAATAGCATAGTGACCATAGCTGTCACATCGGAACCACAGTAATGCTGTGGTTTGCAAACAGGCGGATGAGATAACCCACACCAGCGGCCGCAGACTGCAAACAAAAATGTTAGCGGAAAACAACGTGCTTACCGGCTGCTGTGAGAATGCACTGCACACCTCGTATCGTTGCTCAAGGTTAATACGCAATGCTGGATGTCAATAAAAATGAAGTTTGGTCTCCGTTTGCAGTATTGAGTCACTTCAGCGTAGGTGAAGGTAACTTACCGGTTAATGCATCGGTTATCTCCTGTTCAGTTTTTGCTTTACAACTGTGTTTAGTAAAGACCAATGCATGGCGCTATGAATGAGAAGTTGTAGCTAAAATGTTTGTTAGTGAAGCGGAAAAGCGGGATTGTAGCTGCTGCGCTGTCGGAAAATCAAGCGATAGGTTACGACAGCACTCGCACACAGTATTCAAGTGGACTGTCCAGTACGTTGTTCGGTGGATGCTTACAGATCCACGTAATGCACCTATGTCCCAGTGCTCCAACCGTTGAAAGCCGTCGGGTGTATAGATGGTGCTTGCAGAGGGGAAACGCAAGGCTATAGAACAGATAATGGACCTGAGAAGGGTCGTGAGGTCGTTCACGCAGACATGGATAATGGCAACCAGTTAGACTTCGGAAAATTACGTGCAATAGATACTTACTATCGGGAAGCCAAGGAAACTCATACCACATAGCGATCACATAAGTGACAAGTGCTATGAAATAAGAGTACATACACTGAAATCGCTTGCCTGTTTAAAGCGTAGGCTGCAGTGTCACCGAGGACGCTGGGTACGGCAGCGGCATTCAACGGATCCGGGAATTGTTACAGTTTCTGTTGTTAGGTAAGTGAATGAAAGAAACACACTTACCTGTCATCATGATGACAGACGTTACGGCTGGTTGCGATGTCGTCGGAGGCTGCTACACAACAGGGCGACGTGGGGAAGACGTGGAGAGTAGGTTAAGTGGGCTGAAAACAGAGTGTATGCATTTAGGGCACCTGCCTGTGAAAATCTGTGGCCTCAGTGTGACTGCGGACGCTGGGTAACGCCCAGTGGTGCGGATCAGCTGGAAGAGCTTGACGTAACTGCCTACTGCTCCAGCCTGCTACATTCCTTGGGCCCAGCGGTGAACCAGGCTTCCTTGTCAGCACCTACGCTATGTTTTAATTCCCGCCTAATAGACCGACTGGTCACTTTGTGCTCATAGCCAGCTTGCAGGTTTCTTCTAGATTCCAACAGGTCCACCGACCTCTCGGATATAGTGACTGGTGCCGTGACCGTTAATAGTGCCACAACCAGGTGCTCCGGCATCTTGCATGGCGGCGGAAATGCTATGCCGCTGAAGGTCAGTGTCATAAAAACGAGACCGCAAAAGTTCGGTATGCAGTGTGGCTTGATAGGCTTGCCTGAGCTAGGGGAGAAAATTTGTTAGTTACCAATCGGAGGGGACCCCTGGTGCACCTCCCGGGTAAGTTCATAGAGAAATGACAGCGTACCAAGGCATGATGATAGTGGACACAGGTACTCCAGTACGACCGGCAATGCTGGATGGAAACACGCCATCTTTAACTTAAGGGTATGTGGTCAACTTGGGCCCATCGCTAGCGAGATACAGGAGGACGCCAGGTGGCACTTCGCAGCGCACTGCGTCGTAAATCATTGCTGCTAAGAAACAACGTTGTCCGCACAAAATTGTAGAAGACGCTCATCATTGTCAGTCCGTTCGCTTTCAGTCCCAGTGCTTATGCATAGTGGCGTACCACAATGCTCCGTTCTGGGACCGGAATCGTTCAAGATATATCAATGATCTACCCAGTATGCTACAAAAGGACTGTCTGATCTATGCAGACGACCTCAACCTATGGTCAGAAGTGTCCAGCCTCGTAGATACTGTCTGCAGACATTTCGAACCTCACGATATCGCTTGAATTTGCATAATGAAGGAGCAGATAAGTAAGTACGCCAACATCTGGCACGTCTGTTGAGTTGTTTGTGTGCAGCGGAATCAAACCAGGGTGGCTTTGTTCATTTGTATTTCTGGCAGATAGTGGTATATGGAGGAGAGAGAGCCCACTGAAGCATGATTTAAATCTGTCCCAGGCCGTTTGAATGTCGTCACTTTCCAAAATGACACAAAGCGACTTTGCGGCTTTGGCTTTCCTTGTCTGAAAGTACGCGTGCCATATATTTGGAACTCGGCCGGGATGAACCTTAGTCTGACGACTACGGGCGCACTTAATTGAGAGACCTGTGTGGTCCCTAGCACAGAGAGGTGATTTGGATACAATATCAGTGACAAAACCAATGAATTTAGAGAAGATCAAATCCAAGAGGGACGGATTTGGACCTATCATGAATCTTGCAGGCCGATTGACAAATTAAATAAATAAATAAATAAATATTTATTCTCGACTATGCGAGGCACGCCAGTTGAGGCATGATCAGGTATGTACAGCTGTACAGACATTTTATGGGAACTGTAGTGACAGTAGAAAATTGTTCATATGTCCATGCTTGGAACTGTGCGATGGTGAACATGCGAAAGAACGATTTGTTTGGACATAATCGCTCTGCCATATATCGCAGTCATACCTCGAGTAATAATAGATAAAGAATCCTGAGTGATCCATTGGAAGATAATTGAAGAGCTAGCTATCCAGTATGATGATTCTAATTGAGCTGCCAGTGTGAAGTTATGGGCTGTGACTTTATTCGGTGGCGAGTCACATTCGCCACGTTGCAGTGTTGTTAAACGGACATTTGTGGCTTTTTATAGGGAGAACGCTTGCCAGGCGAAAACCCACCACGTCCTGAAACACTGCCGCCAATCCATTGAATGGCAAGTTGTAACTGGCTATGTTTCTTGTTGAACGTTTTTTTGCTCCGTTATTCGCAGTCAAGTTGCGTCCCATTTTTCTGCTGACTGATGCGCTATGCGAGCGGCCATTGCGTGCCTGGGTCCTCTCCTGTTCCAGATCGGTAGGTCAGGAACTAAGCATTCTTTCTGGATATGATGTGTTGATCAACTGCAGAACCACGTGAAGTCTCGAAGAATATACGTTGAAATATGTTGAAGTCTTGGAGGACAGGATAGGTTCCGAAGAAAGAATCGCAGATCCCCCGGGGTATGTAGTGAAATTGATTAGAGATTGTGGTAACCACGGCCATTTGAGCGGTCAAAGCGGATTGAAGAGCTTAGAATGACCGATTGTTCAAGCTTTGTCTTGGCAGGAGAATGTGCCTTCCGTAGTCGAAAGTCCTCCAGTCAAGAGATATGTGGAATAGGTATTGTTAGATAAATTGGACTCAGTGGTTCATGCCGCGGAAGAATTGATTGATTTGTCCAGTTAGTAAGTTGTAAAAAAGTTGATAATTTTCCGCTCATGTCCAGGTAGAGGAACTGTGTGCCTTGTATTGTTGTCGAAACGGAGGACCATTCCTTGGGTGCGTGTCGCCGTACCTGTGACAGACTCGGGAGAAAAAGGAAACGAACAGAGACAGCCACACAGACAGAAGAAAGGAATGCATCTGGAATGCAGTCAACCAATTGCGGCGATGCCTGAACTATTGTACCACTATGCATGTAATTGTTATTTAAATATCGCATATACACGTATATCATAAGTAGCGAAATACGACGAGAATCGAGCGGAACACGGATCAGTAAAGAATGAAAGATTGAAGATGAAGCAGGAGTGTTTGGGGAGGGGTCAGAAAGCAAAAGAGCGTTTAGATGAGACTGGATAAGTCAGCAAGATGTAGCTAGGCAGTCAAATTAAAGTGGGGATAACAGTAGTGAATGTCGCGAGAAAATAAATTTGCGGGACTACAGAGGCTATATAAAAAGCCCGTTAGCGTATCAGACGAAGCTCTCAGGCTGAGAGACAGGGTGTGTTGTGACTGCACAGCCTAGAACACGTGCGTCTCTGATTTCTGGAAACAGTCAGAAAATAGGAGACTGGTCAGACCAGGCTAGAGTGGAGCCAGGCCTGAAGTGTTTTCCGTCCAATGGATAAAGGAAGGCAGTCAGAGTGCGAAAATGAAAGAATGTAATCGTGAAGGAGACACTTAGGGGGAAGTGGAAGAGATTACAAAAATCTCGAGGTGTTGCGAACGGACCTTTGGACCAGTCGATGGTTCAAAAGTATGGGCTCAGTGTTCGGAAAGCAGGAGACCATGGAGATGAGATGAGGATATCGGCTCATGGAGAGAAAGCCGTATTATAAATGTCAGAAAGTTAACAGAGCGTCAACAGGATAGAAGTGTTAAAGATAAAAGCGGATATACTAGTGATGAATCATGAGCAGCAGTGCTCTGGAGGCGGGGGAGACAGAGCATTGCGCCTGCAGAGACTAGATCATTTAGAACTCAGAATTTTGAGAGAGGTCAGAAGGCAGGAGGCCGTACAGCCAGAACCAGATAAGTCAGGCTAGAGTGTAAAAAAAGGGCTATATGGATGAGAAGAGAGTTGCCTGACCGGTGGAAAAAGGAATGCACACAAAATGAGAAAAGGAAAAGTTTTCATTGATGAGTGGAGAAGTCAGCGATATTCCCGACGTGGTATGAACAGACCATTTGGTCTGCCGACCCCTGATCATTAGGGTCACAGAAGTCGGAAGGTGGGTCGTTCAGACCATACTAGAAAGTCGACTCATAAGGAGAAAGGCGTAATAGTAAGCTATGCATTTTGTCGGATCGAATCGGCAGAAATGGACACGTTATTGGTGCAGGGAAGCATGCAAGGCCAGCTGGAGAATCTCCGTAGCCAAACACCTTGCAACAGCGTCGCAGAAAAATTCTGCCAGTCAAAGTCGGGAAGATTGAAGTCCCCTATCACTAGACACCTATTTGCCGAATGCTCGCGGATGAAATCACCTAGCCCCTTAGCAACGCTGTCGGGACTTCTATAGACCAGCTCAACTTTAAATCCCGCGGAGGCAATACACAGGTTAACTGCGAGTGCCTCAACATCACGCTCTGATGATCTGAAACTATACGTGTTAAAGACGGTAAGCGCGGAGTTAACGTACAAAGCAACGCCACCTCCGCGCCGATCAGAGGTGAAGTCACATCTCAGCAGTGCGTAGCCTGGCAAGCACACTTCAGGTGGACAACCACGTTACGGTGAAGGCGTGAACGTCTGCACGGCAGTCGTCCACAAAGCAGCCGACTTCTCACAGATTGTATCGCAGGCTACGCACATTGCTTAAGATCACTTGAAGGGATTTGACATTGTGAGTCCGGGATCGTGCGCCACCGAAACCGGCTCTGCTAGGGCGGAAGTGGACCGCCGGCGCACCACACGAAAACCCACCAAGCGGTGGCCCTTTTGTTCTGATTCACGGCGGGCTTTAAGATCCTTCACAGCTTCCCGCAGGTTAACCTTATCCGCCAATAGGAGGTCCGTGTGCACAATGACACCGGTGCCCTTGAGCTTAAGGGCGAAACGCAGAAGTGCCTGGCGCACCTCCGAGGTGCACAGAACAATTCACAAAAAGCGAGGGCGAGACTTGTCAGCTAGCAAGTTACCGAGTCCGGTTAGTTTGCGCACAGTCATGCCGGGGAAGCCGGGAGGCAGGATTTCGGTAACGCATATTCCAAACCACTAAAGGTCATCTAGCATACGGTCTTGGGAGAACAGCAAAAGACTCAGTATCGTTTCTGAAAATAACACTGCAGTCGGTATAAGAGTCTCAGCGACGCGGCCTATTTACCGAACGCTCCATTGGACGTTGGTGGTTTCAGTTTAGTGTCCCTTTTCATGGACTCTAATGTCGTAGATGTTTCCAGTTGCAACGATTCCGTAGTAGTTGAATTTGAGGGGGAAAGGGCGCCCGACAAATCTCTCATGTCCGCCTTGGGTTTTGCCGCTTCTTTAACCCTCTTTCGCCTTCTTTGGACAAGGGCAGAGACCTGCTGCTCTCCTTCGCTAACAGCCGAATCAAACACGCTATCTGAGGGTTCGTTACTGACAAGGTCGTTGCTAACAGGCAAACTGACATTCGACAGTGAACAAATAGATGCAGGATCTGACAACTTGCCAGTGTCTTCAGGCAAGTTCAAGTTCAGTTGGGACCGGAACGATAGGATAATCCTGTGAATGTTCCCTCTTTTGCGTATCGTCGGATCGGGAATTGACAGGTCTGCTTGAGATGTTGAAAAGCCTAAAACAAAGACAGCATCATTCCCTGTCCAACCAATTACTGCCCACATTTTCCTGCCAAGCAGTCCCTGCCAGGCCGGTTTATGTGAAGTAAAAAAGTGAAGGGTAAGCTAAGATAACAAGAGGAGGAATGTCTGCTAAATAATGATAATACCAAGGTGAGAAAATATTAAAAAGAACGAAGGGAAAGTTGAAGAGACAAGTCGGTTAGGAGAAGGGGAAGGTTTGGTACTGCCACCCAAGAGCATCTAACTGACGCTCGAAACCCTCTACCGTAGACTTCCTAACCACGTGCGCCGGAAGCGAGTTCCAACGTCCAATAACTCGACGCGACAAGCGAGTTTCCGTTCTTACCCGGTCCGAACGCTGTTTGTGCAGCTTCAACGGGTGACCTCGGAGACTAGACAGCTTGGCGGGACTAAATAGCCAGGACAAGTCTGGACCGATCTTACCTGTAAAGATACGGTAAGTGAGGATCAAGTCTCCTCTAATTCTGCGGTAGTGCATTGAGTACATACCCAAGCTAAGCAAACGTTCGGGATACGTTTGCCGCCGTAATCCTTGCACTAATCTTGTACCCACTCGCAAAACCCTCTCCAGTTCCATTTTGTCGCTTACAAGGCAAGGTAGACAAGCCTGGATACAGTACTCAAAGTAATGTCGCACAAAAGCTGAGAACAGCTTCACAAAAATAATTGCCATTAAGACACCGAAGGAGCGGCGAATAAACCACATCATACGGAACCCTCTACAAGCAGGTTTCCTCCAATTTTCCCAAGAGTGAAGCAATGAGGTATGGGTGATACCTAGATCAACCTGCTGAATGACAACAGGGAGATCACTTCCACCAACTACATATTGCGTGGAGGGATTAGCACCTCCAATGCGGAGGACAGAACATTTCGCCTGATGTATGGGCATCAACCATAAGGCTGACCAAACCCAGAGCCTATCCAAGGCACTCTGAATTGCCTCAGAGCCACCAGGGATTTCCACAATATTCCAGAGCTTGAGGTCATCAGCAAACGATAGCGACGGTACCCCAACCTCCACGGGTAGGTCATTGACATAAATTGCGAAAAGCAACGGCCCTAGAACCGAGCCCTGCGGAACGCTGGTTGATGAAGCCGTTTGGTAAGTTCGCCAGCACTTAGAGCGCTTCCTGAGCAAGTATTTACCTGTATGATCTGTCCTTGAAGGCTGCGCCCGTGTCACCCTTCGCTTAGTGAGTGGGATGTGGGGAGCAGAGATCTCGGTGAGGTATGCCTTAAATTTCTCCCAGGCTGTCTCAACGGTGACAGCCACGGTGATCGCACAACGCAAAACTGAAGCTTTATCTCGCATTGCGTTAAAGTCTGCCCGCCAAATATTTGGACAAGCCTCAGCGGTAGCTTGATGACAGTTAGAGCACATCGAAAGGACATGCAAACATGGTCACTGGCTCCTAGAGGACAGTCGTAGGTAATAGCACTTACGAAATCGTGTGACTTCGCAAAAATGAGATCCAAGGTAGACGGAATTTGGTTGCGCACATATCTTGTCGGGAGATCCACGAACTGATTCAAAGGCAGTTGCAACACGGACAGCAAGGAAACCCCTCTTTCTCCCGTGTCTCCGTCAACCGCCTGTTCTGTGGATATAGCCATGGCTCCCCAAAATGGAAACCATGACAATGACAAAAATGCATTTACCCTCGTTCGTAAAATTCAACATGAAAGAGAAATGGGCTCAGCAATCTGCATCCTGTAACGGTGTAGCACTTTGTATACCGTAAAATAGTAACTTACAGTTTCCCAGGAACGTTGCTTCGCCTGCCATGAACACAGGGATACTGTACGTACCGGTACGGGTACTCATTAGGCACCCCCGTCCACTTTTGCCGTTCTTAATGCTGTGGAATCACAACCGTATGCTTGCAAAATCTGCGGCAGTTGCAAATTTCTTTACATCGGACTCAACCTCATCAAGTTTCCGATAATAGTACGCATTGAAAGGCAGAATCTTTCCGATTCATCCACCATGATGACAGTTACAAATGTGGCGCCAAGTGATTTCCAATACTCCTGTAGCCTATCACAACAACTAACTATGAGAACCACATTAACCGTCTTCAATACAAAACATACACCAGGTTAACATGTGTATACCATATATATATGCAAACCGCCATTTAATGGCAACCTCTCCAGTTGGCCTAGCATACCTACGGAACCGAACCCGTGGCTAGGCAAATCTCAGGTGTGAGAGTCCCGGTCCGTCGTTGAAAGGCGATGATTCGAATTGTGAACCACGGTCGACAGCCACAGTAGTTGGAGAGCCACGTGAAGCGACCCAGCGCTGGACAAATGCGTGCATTATGGTCTCAGCGTAAACATCGGGAACTGGAACATCTACAGACCAAACAGGGGCGCCATTCACCCTAGTCAAAATGTATACCATGCCTTCGGACAGCGGAAGTCGTCCAACGATGTTGAGATGTACGTGAGGGGTCGAGTTGATAGTGGCGGGAAGCGCCCTATTGGGACGACAAGACGTCGATGAACTTTTGCTTGCTGGCAAGTCAGGCAGTTGGTGTCCAAAATCTGTCGTCGTTTTGCATGTTTGGCCAGACGTAACTGTTGTCAATCATTTTGATTGGAGCGCGGATGCCAGAATGCGCGAGGTAGTGCGGCGCAACGAAAACTTTTCGGCAAAAGGCAGTTGGTACTAGTTAACCTGAATGTCCGTTATAGACTTCGCAGATTATTGTACCTGTAGATGCAGAAAGCGGTCTAGGTACCAACTATAACAGGGACTTTCCGCAGAATGACACTACGTTTTAAGCTTGCTGAGCAACGGCCATAGCTGACAGATCGAGGGACTGATCTGTCGGAGATAAAGAGGTTACCCTTGAAGGTTGTCCGCCAAAGGTTATGCTTGTCAGGCACGTTTTAGGCCTCCATCGAAAACTGAGGCACGAAATCTAGCTGTCCGGCTTCACTCGGAGAGTGTCAGAGCGTAGGGTTCCGGAAGGCAAATGCGAGTGAATTGTGAGCTGTAAAGCTCGTAAAGTGAATAAGTACGAAAACTTGACGAAAATGGCGAACGGCGGAGTATACATCGAGTTACTCGGGCTAACTATGCTTTATTTCGACGCGGCTGTCTGAAGGCGTCTGAAGCATAACGCTAGTGGCTGTCAATTGTTTTAAAAAGTTCCTTTTGCACAGCGCCAATTGCTGTCTCTGAGGCGTCCACGGTTATATTGATTGGAGCTTTCGAGTCGAAGTGATGAAACACGACTGCGGAAGCGAGTGCTTTTTGGTACCTTCGTATGCTGATCGTGCATCAGACGTAAGCTCAACGTTAACCTTATTTCCTCCATGCAGAACATTGGTGAGCCGTTGCATAAGCTCGGCGCAGCGTGGCAGGAATCAGCGATATAGTTGACCATGCCGTTGAGGCGTCGAATAGCGACTAGAGCTGTTGGATGAGGAAAGTAGCCTATTGCTTGTACTCTGTCCTGCAAAGGGCGGATACCCTAGGAATCAAGTTGGTGTGCGAGGATGTCAGCGCGCTTCTGCCTGAAAATGTACTTGTGCGCCTTCAGCCTTTCGAACAAGAGTCGTAGAATTGCTCGGTGCTCCCCTTACAAAGAATCGGCCACCAGGCTTTCGTCGATGTACGGGTGAACGAAGTCAAAACCACGTACGACGGAGTCGCTGGAGCGTTGAAATGTCTGCGCGGCGTTACGCAGACCGAAGGGCATTCGTAGAAAATCAAAGAGTCCAAATGATGTATTAACGGCGGTTTTCGGTATGTTATCGTCGGCGGCGGGGATCTGATGATTAGCTCGCACTAGAGCGATCATTGAAAACACGCGAGCACCATGAAGACCGGTTGTAATATCCTGTATGTGAGGAATGGGATAACGATCCGAAGTTGCCACGTTGTTAACAGCGAGGTCGACGCCACATGGCGGCCAGTCTCCTGGCATTTTCGGGACAACATTTAGGGGGCAAAGACCAAGGACTGCTTGATGGTCGGACGATCGTAAGTTACGACATGTGCTCTAATTCCACACCGGCGGTTTTGATCTTGTCCGGGATCAGTGTTTGGCGGAGACAGGCGGGCCCTTGGTAACTATGTGCTGCGGCGCAGCTACGGCTGCAGTTGTCAGTGACCATGAAGATCGGAAGACTTCAGGGCAACTCTAACGTTGCACTGCCGGCCGGCCAGTTAACGGTGCCGTACACCGGACTGGGCGATGCTCCGTAGCTGGATGTTCCAGCGACAAAATCTTCCATTGCATGATCCATGAGCGGATGTCGTTTCTCACCGACTAGCAAGTCGATTTGTTGTAGAATATCTAGCCCGCTAGTTGAATGTTGGACGCCAGCGACAAGAATTACCCATCAAACAAGCTTCGCGTGTCTTGGTTAAGTGTGTTAGAGCTCTGACTGTAAAAGCGGATGCTGGTACCGTTGGCTGCGCTTAGAGAACCAGTCACATTTCCGGTTGCCTCGTTTAGATCACGTGGAAGGACGCTGGCTTCTGTGCTAGTGTTGACGAGATAGCGAGTTCCCGTTTGTCGATCGGTGACGAAGAATAGGCGACTGTGTTGTCCAGCTACGTCTGGCATGTGGTACAACCTGGCTGGCGTGCCGAATAACCACATCATAGAGCCAGATTGGAGGTTCGGATTCTTTCCGTTTCAGCAAACAGCTAGGCGGCAGTAATCCAGGACGTGGCAGGCTTTTGCCTGACAAGCGTTCTCTCTATAAAAAGCCACAAATGCCTGCCTAACAACACTGCCATTTAGCGGGTGTGACCCGCCACGGAATAAAGCCACTGCCGCTCGGCCCACGCTGAGATGCATTGCAATTCAAGGGCGCGTTGGGCCCCTTCTACTTCATGGAACGAAAGGCATATAAACCATATATTTGGCCAACTGTGCCCAATGGCTTGCGACGACCTCACACCACCCAGCTGCCTTCTGGGTTAGAACTTTTATCAACGCCTCCGGGTAGGGACACCTAAGATTACCTTCCACTTCGACCTGGTCAACTGGTAGTATCACGACCACTGACGAATCATGGACCACACAGCTTATTACTGCTCCTGTTATGCTTATCTTCTATGCTAAATCAACTGCTCAACCTTCACTCACAGATCATAACATCTCTCTTCCTTCACCCATGTGTACTCTCATGTCTTCGGTCACCGTCAAAACTGGCCCACGTCT